TAAAGTAGGCGAAGCCAGCGGGGGTGCGGAATGGGTGGTGCTGATTATTGCGGCTGTTTCTCTAACCGCTTCAAAAATTAGAACCGATCGGGACCTTGGCTGGCTAGACTTTACACGTTGTCGTTTCGGTCGTTTCGGCAGGATTTCCCACACCCACGGCGGCCGGCTTGCCTGCCGAGTCTATGGGTCACTCCCCCCACTCCTCCCCCTGTCCCGCACAAGGGCGTGTAAAGTTAAGCTAACGTGAGCTCACGCGTGAGTGAGTCCGGAAACTCCGCGCCCTGCAGCGGGGTATTTCCAGCCCTGCGCCCCGAAATCACCCAAATCAAACGGAGTATCGAAAAAGTAATGATTCCTAGGCTTCCCCATTTCTTAAAGTTTGTATGTTGCCGCGTTTAAGAACACGATCTAGCGAGCTCACGCGTGAACTCACGTGAGCTTAACTTAACACACCCCAACCCTTGTGTGTGCCTCGGCGACCCGCCTCCTCGACTCGTCCGCCAGTCTGAGCCGAACCTTTGCGGGTGGCAGGTCGGCAGGTCGTTGCCCTCTACAGAGTCCTAAGAGAGAATTAGTACGATAATGGCGGACGAGGAGGAGGTGGATGATGATGGCTATGTGGAGGAAGAGTGGGGCGAGGAAGATGTCAATGACGATGATGTCGCCGATGATCGGGATATTGAAGGCCGAGAAGTGTACGAAAAAGTGCCCTTCTCGATAAGGCCGATAGCGAGAAGGCAAACCGCCCGCACTCTGTTCTTGCAGTGCAGCGCAGCATAACTACAGACAGTGAGCGGGGTTAATCAGCCACCCGGTACAATTACTTCGTGTCGTATTACCCGATGAATTTTAACCGAGTGCCGTGTGTTTTACAGGAAAATTCTGCAAGCAACAGTTTGCTGCGCTCCGAACCAATAGGAGAAGGAGGAAACACAGAAAAACAAAGAAAAGTGGAGACAAGGGCCAAGGACTACTCGAAGATTTCAATTCCGATCCGCTGAGCTTTCTTGATGACATAGAAGAGCGGGCGTCTCAGTTCCGAGAGTCGAACCTGTCGCTCGCTGGACCTCACTTCGAGCCGCCGTTGCCTCCTCCTCCTCAACGCATTCCGCCGACCCAACGGCACAGCATGAGGATGGCTCCTGGCGTAGCAGGTAGGGTCGTAACCACTTCACCCACTCCTTCCGATCCTATTTGCGAGGAGTAAGAATGAGTCCCATGACCAAGACCCGTCCAGCACGACACTCCCCGCTGTGCTGCACGGCGGACACGCGTGCGGTGCGGGTCAGCCTACGCGGTCCGGTTCTGAACCCACCCGCGCGCCTGGT